ATCTTCCACTATGGCAGTGCAACCAAGAATTTAATTCTTCTCCTCCTTCTGTTCCTTTACTGTGTGATCATCAGTAGTAAGGACACCCGCAGCTTAAGATTAGATGTGACTAGTAAACCTGTCATTTTCTAAAAACAGTCTGTGTAGTCACTTGTCATCTAGATCAAGTAGATTTACATGCGTGTCTTTGGTAAGTTCCTCTTAACCCAGCAAATACATATTTTTTGAAGAAAAAAAAAAAAAAAAGAAAAGACATTTTTCAGATCAGACAAAAGCTTGACAATACCTATACTCCTCAAATATGAATCAACAAAAAAGGTGCCACTGTAAAACTCTCTTCTTGCTTAGTCAGACAAAGAAAAAACAGGTGAAGATGGTGAAATAATTTTATTCTACAGATGGAAAGTTATATTGTATTCTAGAGATGCTCGGTCTTCCAAACTCTCTCAGTTATAGCAAGCATTTTCTTCTGCATTATTTCCATGGATTTTAAGCAGATGCTGATTCTAAATATAAAGAGAAAAAATGTCATTCAGAAGTAATATTAAAGCTGAATTCTTCAAAGTTTCTTAATGATCAGCCTAGTTTGTCTTTTTCTAAATACCCTCCACCATCTTAAATAATAACTAAGACTGTAATATTTGACAGTTTAGTCAAAAGTCAACTCTGCTCTGCTTTTGGCTCCAGAAAACTCTAACTTCGTATTCTTCAGAAACAACAGTTTGTTTTTGCTGTTAATGAACAGCTTTGTGTTATTTTCTGTTACATATTAGGTATTACCTACTTTTTCCTGTTCTTTTTGCTCCTTGGAGCACCTGCAATTCAACTCTCACTGGTGCAGCACATCAGAATTCTTCAAGAGCAGCTATTGTCACCTTTGAATAACATTGTTAAACTAAACAAAACAACAAACAACCAAACCAAAAAAAAGCCTTCCAAACAAAACCCTGCCTATCATATAATTCATCTCCTGCATGTACTGAAGGACTCCTGACTGTTGTCCTGGCATTTCAGAGCAATGGGTGTATGCCGCACTGACAAGCAAATTTGGTCTTTGCAACCCTCTCAGCTCATGCAACCACTTTGAAAGGGGGTGGGTGGGAGGGGGGAGCTGATTTATCATGCTAAATAAAGTGGTTTTCTGAAGGATTAATTTTGCATATTTTAACTTTGCTGGATGAATTTTCCCATCATTCTGGGGGTTCCATTTATACCTGCTACCAACTTGCAAACTGTGGAATATATTGCACATGTGTGCAAGTCCTACTCTTGCTTCATACTTTTCAATGGTATGTGCATACACGTTTGTTAAGGCATTTCCACAAAGATTACTTTAAATGACACACTGCTTCATTTTCCTTTCCTTGTTTGTCTTTCTGAAGAAAGAATAATAGCAATCTGTGGTCTTTGGTTACTAATTTTTGTTCAAGCAAACTAGAATTCTCTTGTGAGCCCCTTTTCTTGTACAGCAAAGAGCTCTCGTTGTATCAGGTCTGGCATTGCACCTAGTGGCCTGCTCTCTTCTTTGTCTGCTCATGGAAAGAGGGAAAATGGCATTGAAGCTAATGAACTGATGGTATTTGGACCTTATTTTGTGTTTCCTATTATACACTGGACCCAGTTTACAACAGTGTCCAGATGGGAAAAACATAATTCAAGGGCTGTAGTGCCCTTTTTGATAATTGCATGATGGAGGTAGGCAAAAGAACGGATGTTATTTAGGCCTTAGCAGACTGTAACTTCTGCAAAAGCTACTGCCATTAAGCTTTTCTTTAGTGCAGACCTGCTAAAGCAAAGAACTTGTTTTGTTTTGTTTTGTTTTGTTTTGTTTTGGTTTTTAATAGTAAGTTGCTGGCCCTTGGTTCTGAACCATGCAACATGGATATTCTAGTTTGTGATGTTACTAACAGTTGCCACTGCTGTTTGTATAGCAATGTAGCTGAGGCTTCTTTTGGTTTTGTTTCCCACAGTTTCATGAGCCATTCAATGTGGTAACCAATTCAATATTTCTAGGAAGCCCACAGCCCAGCTGTCAGACTTGGGAAAGGGGCTACAAAAGCCAGATACACTACATAAAGTTGTATATCACATAAATTGTGCATGCAGTGTCATATGTACAGACTCTGCCAGGTGCTGACTTGTTTTCACTGTTCACTACACATTTGGTCTGAACAAGACAGTCTCATTACTTTATGTTTACAAGCCTCTGTTTTGTAGGAGAGTGAAGCAAGGACATAAAAAAAAATAGTACCTTACTTTGATTTGGACATACTGAAGATTGCTTTAAAGAGAAACTCATTCTATGTGTGTAAAAATGCAGATTGAATATGGTTTTACTTTGTACCTACCCCAGTTTTAATATTGCCTTTATATTTTAAAACACAAAAGAGATGTAGAATTTCAGACCTTATGTAAAATTCATCGCAAATCTTCAAAATAGGTTTGATATGGCCAGTGACAAATGATGTCCCATAAACTGCTGCATGACTATTTTTAACATAGCTCTCATACATAATTTCTCCTGCATTGATTGCCCAGCTATATGAACATGGTAAAATACAAGGCATTATAAATGACAGGCTTTCATATCTCCACTTAATCTTTGCTGGACCCATGCTCACTTGACTCCATATGAGAAGCAAATAAAAACAAGTGAGGCTGATGACTGGAACTGTCCCAGAAGCTTAGCTCTAGCCATCCATCTGTATTAATTACTGATGCATATATGTGGCGACTGGCTGCTAATGGGAAACATCCCAAACATTTTACCTGCCTCACCTTCTCCACCTTTACTTTCCCTTTACTGGGCAGTAACCTCCCTTTCGGCTGAGACCTTGCAGGCCCAGCTTTGCCACATCAATACCACCAGTCATGGTGGATTCTGCCCCTCATGGTGAGCATCTTTCCGTCTCTCTCCCTCCCTCTCTCTTTCTTTCATTCTTCCTTTCTTTCCTTCCTTCCTTCCTTCCTTCCTTCCTTCCTTCCTTCCTTCCTTCCTTCCTTCCTTCCTTCCTTCCTTCCTTCCTTCCTTCCTTCCTTCCTTCCTTCCTTCCTTCCTTCCTTCCTTCCTTCCATCACTTTTATAAAAGTACAATTTTCTCTCACCTCCCACCTACATTGTTTACTCCCAAATCCTTCTCATTTTTCATCCACTACCTCCACTTTTGTCCTTCACAGTAAGATAGATGATAAGAGGCCTGCGCATCAGAAGGCTTTGGCTTTCATTCCCAGCTTTGCCCACTCACTTTCTGCATGATACTGAAAACATCATAGGATTGTCTGGGATCCGCATAAGAGCTAGGATCCAACATCGCCAGGCAATGAACACCTGTATTGAAGGCAGGCACATGAGAATCTCTTCCCAGGCACTGTGCTGTACCTCTGAGCACAGGCTGAGGCTCTGCATAGCAAGGTGCTAAGAATGGGACTGGGAAGGGGTAAAAAGAAGAAGGGAGAGCAGCGAGAACTGCAATAATCCTCTCAGGAAAGGGTGAGGTACCCTTCGCGGGTTTAAGTGACATGTCGGCACAGTGCACAAGGCGGCTTTGCTGTAACTCTGTGTGCAAGGGCTGGAGTTTGCTGTCCTTTGTGCCTTTGGCAGTCATTTTGCCAGCGTCTGCTTACCCTGCTGGAAGAAGGACTAGTGCCATAGCAGGAGATGCTGTGAGCCTTAGGGAAATAAAACACTTCTGAGATCCAGGTGGGAAGTGTACAAACTTCGGTGTCAGGCTTGTTTTCACTTCATACTTTGCATCTGTTTTTACCCAGCATCGCTGCCCTCACCCTCCTGCTTGTGAGCCCTCAGAAGCACCTCTTCAACCTCCCCGTTCTTTGCACGGCAAGGGCAAATTATAAAACATAACAGCACAGCCCCACACCCCCTCCACACCCCCAAAAAAGGGCTCGGGGGATCCAAGCACCCTCCCCGCTGTGCAAACGGGGATGGGCAGCGTCTGCCACTTGGAGCCACCGCACGGCTCCACGGCCCGCTGGGGAGCACCAGCTGCGGCCGGTGGGGCACGGGGGACACCGGGGAACGGAGAAGAAGGATCCCCGGGGGCTGCCATGGCTCCAAAGTCCCCGTCACCCTCCCAGCCGCCTCCTCCGAGCCCGGCTAGTTAGTCCCGCCCCGAGCGGGGCCTGGCCGCGCCCGTGGCTGTGCCGGCTGCGGGGTGAGCGAGCGCGGCTGGGCCCCGCGGCATGGCGGCGGCCCCCGGGGGCTGCCCCTAACGGGACCCTCGGCCCCAGCTGTGGGGAGAGGGCGGCTCCGGGGGTGAGGGGCGGCCGGGTCGGGGCGCTGAGAGGAAGAGGAGGAGGAGGAAGAAGGGGAGGAGGAAGAGGAGGGCGCCTGCGTGAGGCGGGGAGAAGCGGGAAGCGGGAGAGGGCTGGGGTTTGGGGTTTGGGGTTGTTTGGGGTTGTTTGGGGTCGGGGAGCGTCCCCTCCCTGCTGGGCAGAAGCTGGGAGGTTTTTGGCCAGGAGTAGCCCGCTGGGGCTGGCCCCGCAGCGCGGTGGGGCTGCGCTGCTATTATTAGCGCTGGTATTTCGGGTTGGTCCGCCCCAGGTTGTGTGCTGGAGATCCGTCCCCTCCGGTACTCATGGGTCCCTCAGGGTGGCTCCGTGAGGGAACAAGTGCCTCGGTCCAAATTTTGGACCTTCCAAGCCTGCCCTCGGCGGCTTCTCCATCTGGAAGCGCCCGCAGACCCCTGCGAGGTGCTTACACAGTTGCTTAGCAAGGCTCAAAGCAAAGCTCCAGGTCCAGCTTTGGGACCCAGACACCACATCTTTTCTCCCTGCGATACCCTGCCCTTTAGGAAGCTCTGCTGTGGCTCCAGGGCTGCTTTCTCCTCGCCTTGCAGCAGGGACGAGGGCTCACGGAGCGAGGGAATCCTAGCAGTGTGCCCAGCGGTGCCTTGGGCACAGCCTGTCCTGGGCTGCATGAACTTGGACATGAGCTGAGGCACGTCGGTCATACGGGCAAGGAACTCAGATGAACACTTTCTGACCCAAAACTATCAATACACCTGATCTCCAGGAAACTTGCAGGCACAGCTCTTTGGTTTTAGGCCCGTTTGTTGCTGAGGATGTTGCTTTCTCTGTGCTGGTGGCTTGTGATAGCTCTTGGATGAAACAATTTTTTTAGCCAGAGGTCACTTTCTCTTGGAAAATTGTGTTTTGCCTGTCTAGAACTCTCCTGTGGTTTATAGTGGATGCGTTATTCGGCGTTGTCTGCCATAATATGTTCTGTAGTGTTTAAAGGTTGCTGCCTCCTTTCTGCTGGGGGCTGTGTTTCGGTGATGGGTGAAGCGGTGCTTGTAATAGGTGGTTTTGTATCATTTTGTCAGGTACTGTGGGATTGTCATATGAAGGACTATGTGCGTGTCATTTGTTATTACGAATGCCTCTCGTGTTTTGGAATTTAACAGACATAATATTTACCCTTGTGTCACCATCATCACGTTCATTTCTGTAGCCATAATCAAAGGTGGCAACAATGGCATTCAGATGCTTAATTACATTTTGTATAGGTGACCAGTGTTAACTTATTAAATTAATGCGTGGTGGAGCAGGAGCAAGTGTCACTGCCTGTGGTTAGGAAGCCATCAGCTTGCTCCTCACTTATCTCTACCAGTACATAGTGAACCATATGGCATCGGAGAGTGTTTATTAAAGAGTAATTTCTCTCAACATTCTGTGTATTTTATTTCTTATTTCGCTTTATGTAGATCTCAAATATTTTTTCCATCTCAAAAATTAAAACACTGAGCAACATTGATTTTTCAGTAAGCTGAAACCAAGGTTTCTTAAGGTTTAGTGGGAGCAGAGAAAAGCAATCTTTTGCTTGCATCCAACATGCCACCTGTGTGGGAGGATTGGAAATCCTTCTAGGATGTGGAACCTAAGGTTCAAGTCCCTGGTTTCTGGTTTTGAGCAGAGTTTTGAACATAGGTCTTCTGTTTTTTCTGGGGAATATCCAAGTCATTGCATGATCAGCTGTGTTGTGGAGGGAAAGGGAGTATCCTACCCCCCTGGTTATAAAAAGAAATTTCATCTTTATCTCAGCTAATCAAGGAGGTTTTCTTGTAGGATTCTGCTTTGACATCTTGTTGCTTTATGGTCACAAATTAAAAAACCTACCCAGAACCGAATGAAAGCAAGTTAATTCCTTCACCACTGCTGTTTGCATACCATCTGCCATTCTCAGGTGGGTCTGGAAATGTTCCACTAGCCTTACTGCTAGAACTCTTGAGGGCTTTAAACTTCATTGCAGGACTTGGGTCTTTGTTATTCACTTTAGTCTGGTAGCAAAGATTTTTTACAACCTGGCTAATTAATAGTTTCCAGGATAAAGATACTGAGTTTGTATCTGGCAAAAACACTTAGTCACTCTGTAACACAAAAAGCCAGAGCAGTTGCTGGCTTCTGCGTCCAGTTCCTGTTAAGACTGAAGATTCAGCAGTACCTGGTGAGAAAGCAAAAGGCCACGCAGGGGATCTGACAGTCGTGTCAGCGTCTGTGTGTTGGCTTTGCCTGCTGTTCCGCTATTGTACCCAGCCAGGGGAGAGAACTTTGCACCAGCACTTGTACAAGCAAGAGGTCAGTGGCTTTGACCACTGACAAAGCATGCAGGCTCTGTAAAGACAGTCTCAGAGTTAGAAGGTATTCTGTGGAGTTATGACCGCCAGCTTCAAGCTTTCAGTCAGCTCACGTTTTCTTGTGAGGGCTGCTGTGGAAAGCTGTGTGGCTTCTGCCTCCTAACAACTGCAGCAGAGCAGTCACAAGGGGAACTGTTCTCAGGGGATTTTCTTTTCGGTAGGTCTTCAGATTGGTGGTAAGTCTGGGGACCCAGTTGTTTGCAGCAGCAGGAAAACGAATTTGGTTCCATGCATGTTAAGCCCACAGAATGGTAGGGGTTGGAAGGGGCCTCTGGAGATCAGCTGCTCCAACCCCTCTGATCAAGCAGGGACACCCAGAGCACGTTGCCCAGGACTGTGTCCAGGTGGGTTTTGAGTATCTCCAGGCAAGGAGACTCCACGGCCTCTCTGGGCAACCTGAGCCAGTGCTCGGTCACCCTCGACCCATCCACCACAGTAAAAGAAAGTGTTCTTCTGGAATCCCTGCTTGTCCCGGTTGCTGCAGTCTGACATTTCAAATGAGGCACTAAACCTTTCTCCATGCTATTTTCCTCCGTGTGTTTCTTCAGAGCCCACAGTGGATGGAGCTGGCCTTGGGTTTCATTCATCTGAATCTCCTAGTTAGGAAAGGCTCCAGTTCTTGGTCTAGTCTTGACCAAGAGGCAGTAATGAACATCACCCTTCCATTGCCTAGATTTGTGTGGTGAGAAGGGCGGTGTCGAGTCTTTGGTGTCTCAGATCTCCATCCCTTTCCTCTTTATTTCTGCGTGTAAAGATCTAGGGAGTGATTTGCTGTGGCTTTTGGTGAAACCAATTAAGTCAATGAGAATAATGGTAAAGCTAGCTAGGTATATGCTTAAGTTTCAATTTTGAAATTTAGAGGGAATAAAGAATGAAGACATTCCTAAAAACCACAGGCTGCTGTTCTGTGTGGTGTTTTCATTGCAAGAAAGAGTGTGCTTGTAGCCTAGCACCCACGAGGGGCAAATACGATTCATCTAGGGTAAAGAAACACACGTGCAAGTATCACCATGCAGGACTCACCCATCCATGCATGGACTATTATACAGTATAAAGTTTCCTCAGGCCTGATTTTTGGCCTAAAAACACTGTGTGTGCATGTAAAATGTAATTAATGTAATGTTGCACCCCAGGGGAGAATTCTTCTATGACCTTTTCTCAGGAGTAGCTTTGGAAGCTGCCCAAAATGTAAAATCCCCTGAAGTTCTTGTAAAGGAGCTGCTGATGAAAAAACATTTATGGGGCTGTTGGTCTCATATCTCTGAGGAAAAGAAACTTCAATGTGACTTTGCTCAGAGGAGCCTTGATTTTGTGACCCTTATCTGCACAGAAGTAAGGTAAAACAAAAGTCTGCCTCTGCTGCATGAACAGCAGCTGAACTTTAACCAATTTGAGCAAAAAGCACTCAAAGTATTAAATACTAAGACAGTAGTGCACACATGGCCCTGTGCAGGTCACGGGAGCTTCCTTTGGTCCCAGAGGTCTGTTATGAGAGCCACAGAGAGTTTTTGCTTACCCTTTCAGATGAGCATTTAAAAGCTTTGCTTCTCACTTTTTGTATATTCCCCCGAGAAATCTCTAGGTTTGGGATCTGTTGGCCAATTTGTAAGCAGTCGAGAGATGACAGGTATCTGAAATGGTGAGATTCTTGCTTTTTCCTCGAAAATACAGCCACACAAAGATGAGAGACTGCAGGTACCGTGTAAGGGAAAACCTACAACATACGTTCCTACAGGGTTAGATGAGAGTGTTTGTAGGAGAGAGGTGCTCTAAGTGTTCTCCTCCTCTCTGAGAGCTTTAGTCAAAGCGTGGAAAATCCCCCATGTGGCACAGGTCCTTAGGACACGAAGCCTTGCCTCAGTGCTATTTGCAAGGGAATACTAGGATGCCACCCTGATAACTAGGGGGAAGGCCAGCACTGTACATCCTTTTCCCTTTACTATACTTTTGCACTAAACAAATGCCTATGAAAAACTTTCACAATGCTTGTTTATACTGTGAAAAAATGTCATGATACTTATCATACTTGTTTTTTGTTTAATTTACAGAGTGGGAAGCTGGTGAAGAAAGAAAACACTGCCTGTGATTAGGTAAGGTTATTTGCCTTGGCTCTATTTGCTGAGTTAGCACGAAGTTCAGCAAATTGTGTTAGTCTCATAGGTCCAGTTTGGGAGAGGAAAAAGTCCGATGTCACTTCTGATCATTGAGCTGGGGAAGGATATTAAGGACTTTAATGGAAATAATCCACTCCTTCTTCAGAGAAGCCCATCTGTCATTTCTGCAGAAGAGACAAGAGTTTTCATTGTCCTTTTACCTCATTTCCAAGTTCTGTTTTGGGGGTAAAATAACCCAAAGGAGATGTTCTCTGGCATCTCACATAACTCAGAGACAACTGTGTAGTGAGAATGCCTGTTTATGAGGCTGTTGGACACCTTTGGCACCAGAGGAGTGTCTGGGCAAGCTGAGGGTGAGCCTGTAGAGGTCCTGCTGAAGCAGAGGCAGCGTCCCTGCTGGCCACCACAACCCCACAGCTCACAGACAGCTCCGCTCCCAGCATTGTAGCTCCACTTGCTGACACTGTGCATGAGCAAAAATGTTGTGCTTGTTGCAAGCAGTGTATGAGAAGGCTGGTTTTCAGGCGTGCTTGTCCTGTAATTAAAGCTTCTACATACATTTCTGAAGGTAAAGTTGATGTGGAACCTGTCTGCCAGAGAAGTTAGAAAACTTGCTTGTCTGATGGGTCTAGGGGAGAAGTGTGCCTGCAGAACCGAGTTCCTTTCACCCCACAAAGCTCTGCAGAGCTGGCAGAAGCACGTGAGAAGGGAGAGGGAAGTTCTGTTTTTAACTTCATCCTGAAACAGCCTGCATGTGTTCTCATACCCTCTGCCTCTCTTCTTGCATTGTCTTGCTGACATTTTCCCTCTTTGCAAAATGTTCAAATAGGGGGGATGCTGAGATAACGCAGGATAGACCAGCTAATGGGCCATAGATGTGTCCTATACATAGATGTGTCCTATACGGGGCTTCTCCGTGCCTTGCTGAGGTCACTCACAGTAGAACTGAATGCTCGAAGCATTTCCTCCAGCTGTGAATACACACTGAACCTGTGCTGTGTCACCTTTCCTCAAGCTGCATGACTACACAGGGAAAAACCCTCCTACAATATTCTTCATGCAGCCAGGGCAACCCGTATTTCTAAATGTCAGCTGTATGTAATTTGTTTCTGAACACAATAAATACCCATTCATTTTGCTTTTTTGTAGTTTTTGTCACAGCAATCTCCACTTAGTGTCCCTGTAATCTGGCATTGTAACGTAACAATACAATTATTCTCATACAAGTCGAGAGAATCTGTGCTAATACCATTCAGATGTGCTTACCGAATCAAAACAAATGCAGCGTTAGCGTGTGGAAGCCGCGTTTATGAGATTATAATGTTCCAGCAATATGAAATTACTGTAGGAAGCAACTAATCCAAACCTAGAGAGACGTCCCATTACAAGACCATTAAAATGACACGATGACTGAAGTGTGAGTTTCAGATGGGAAAAGCAGAAACACGCGTCTTGCCATCAATATTCAGGCAAAACACCCATTGAATTTAGTGGAGTTTTTACCAGAGTAAGGAACGCAGTACTGTGACCTTTTTAGTAGCAAGTTTCTTTCCTCTTAATAATACCTCTAGGAAAAATATGTACTTCGCCAGTATTTAACAGGAGGGTGATGGTGAGAGTTGTATTTCACCGTGCAATGAGTTGTAAAGATTAGTCCAGAGTTTATTAAGGAAATGTTAGGTTATTATTTCAAAGCTGTTGTGGACAAAAAAAAAAAAAAAAAAAAAAAAAAGAGATTGTTTATTCAAGATTATTTTCTTGTTATCTGAGTATATTTTCAGGAAATACTATTTATTTCTCTTTATGCAGCACCTAAACAGAGAAACCTTGATCTGAGTGGGAGTGCCTCAGCACTAACAGAGTATAAATTAGTGATTTCCAAAACCAAAATACATCTTATTGCCAGATAAAAGCCTACCTGTTTATTTGTTGTCATAGAAATATGAATTCCTTTCCCCTTTTTCCTCTCACATTCTCTCCCTGCCCCTTCCCTCGAACTGGGTGAGGATTCAGGAAGTTTAATTCACATGTCACACACAGGGCCATTTAAGATCTACTGGCTTGTCCGAGATTGTTTCTTGGCTCCTTCCTTAGTCCATGGAAGGAGGCAGATGTTAGAGAAAGTAACTTGTCCTGTCCTGTCACAAGCATTCAAAATAGGCTGGATGAATTGCCTGTAGATATGTCTTCCCATCTCCGGTATGAAAATAGTCTAGACAGTTATTTTGTAAGGACGTGTACCATTTCAGATGGCTGAGTGAGAGGGTATGAATTCAATCCCCCAGTGTACAAAAGAAGAAACTTGCTCAAAAGAGAAAATTCTGTGTAGAACGTGGCATACAAGTCATTAGAAACCCGCACGAACATTAACGTATACATGTTTAAATTAAGCAGCAGTCATTATTCAATTTGAAAGCTGTTTGCACATAAATCTATTTTAAAGACACTAATTAAATTATGGTTCCATCAGGTGAATCTTATCAAGAATAATGTATCATTATAGCATATTCATGGCATGCTGTCTATGTAAATGATGGTAGAGAAGATATCAGGACTGTGTTTTTAAAAATAATTCTAGTCACGAATTGTTGGCTGTCTATTTTTCTTTCTTTTTTTTATTAAAAGTGTTGGTTTTCTAAAACTGTTAGTAAGCAGGCACTGACATTAACGTTAATCATATTTTTCAGGAAGATAAAATTAGGCCTGCTTTAAATGCTGTTTATGTCAGTTTCCATTTCTGTGATGCTTCTTACAGTCATAAAAGCACTTGTGCTCAATCAAAAGGTTCAATAGTAGGCACTGGTTTTGTTAGCTCTGTATGTATGCTATAATCTGAAGTACAGAGCCTAAAAATCAACAGATTCATGTCTGCTGCAAGAGGAACCTGGCACTGGAACAGGTAATTTTAGATGTTTCCTGCTGTTATAAATCAGAGGACAGCAGCCTCAGGCTATAAGAAGATCTCACACAACCATAGGTTTTCACAGTGTATGGGCCAAATTAATTGATGGTAGTCTAATTTAGCTATGTCAGAAAGGAATTAGTCGAACAAATGTTGAAAATAAACTTTTAATTATTGTCCTTTTTACATTCAAAGGAGGAATCTGAAAGTGAGCAAAAATTCTGAATCAATTAGAATGGCTGTTTTGAGCCACTGCACTGTCAAGTAACCAAAAAAATAAAGTGGAAACTTTTTAAGGAAACAGGCCATAATTATAATTACTTTGTGTCTAGTTTTATTAAAAGAGCTTCAATACTTGAATATATACAAACTTATTTATATAGGTCCGTTTTCCTAACTTAATAAATGGATTTGAAAATTGTCAATAAATGTGGAGAAAAATATGCTTCTCCAGTAGAGAGTGGATATCACTTTTTATGCTATAGGGACTTAACTGAATACCAGAGCAGATACTTGATGGAAGAAAAATAAAAATTAAAGAATATATTACCGTAGTCACTTTGCTGTGTGTATGACAATGACCTGGCTCGTTGAGCTTTTTCCATACTGGGGCGTTGCTCTACACAATACTGGCTTTATTCAGGAGTGCAATTAATGGCTCAGTTGGACAACTGAACTGAATTGCAGTTAGCAGCAGTTTCTGACTAAGACAGGTATTTTGCTTTTCATTATTTTCTCACGAATAATGTTTTCTGAAATCATGGGCTTCTTAATTTATTTGGCAAAAGCCACAACACAACATGATATTAATCAGCCAGCAGTCTGTTCCGTGAGAGTTATTATTCTTCTGCCTTCTCAAACAAGTCAAGACGCTAGTCTACAAACGCGATTCATAAAAGAACAGTTCTTCCTACGTGGGATTATTATACACGTCTGCTTATACACAAGACAAGCACACACAGTCAATCAGTCCTTTCTTTTTCTTATGGATGGCTGACTTTTCATGTTAAATTAACTGCCAGCACTCAAACATCACTAGACAGGTGGTATCTGCCTTTTGCAGGAGCTGGGTCACTGTTACAGCGGTACTCTGGCAGTGAGTCTTGCTTGTGAAAAGAAAGTATCCCCAAAGAGATCCAGGCATCCTTGTGCCCTTTGATATGTAGAGTTCAGTGCCCTTCAGATTTCAGTTTTTCTGTCATCCTGGTAGATTAACATTAACAGTTAAAAGGAAAACATCCTCTGAGGGCTTTACCAGTAACAAACCCATGTTTATGATATTATTCACTAAAAGGGAGACAGAAATGGGAAAGACCTCTCTCTTTAATCAATAATGCATGCTCTAGTTAGTCCTGTCCCCTGGACATGATTAAACATGTATTTTGTTTCATAACTGATGATTTTGGTTGACTAGGGATTATAACTACATATCCTCAAGCCTTTGCAACCAGCATCAGGAAGATCTAACATGAGCTGTGTAGTCAGCTATGTTTAATGTTAATACGGCACATAAACTATAAAGATCATCCCCACCCTCAAAAGAAAAAAAAAAATCCCCCCAAATCCCAATGGAGACAGCTGCAGCTAATTCTAACCTGTAGAGATCCGGGCTAAACTTTCCCAAAGCAGATGCCTATGACATGAACCAATTGTAGACAGCAGCCCCAAGGTATGTCTTCGTCACCACTCATTTGAAGTTTTGAAGAATAACCCGGTTTCATTTATATTAAAGACGAGGGAAAAATCATCTTAGGGGCTGAGCCATGGAAATGAGATGTTAGGCTAAGGTCTGTTCTAAACTGGTAAAACATTTGGCCAACGAAGCTGACAGAAAAAAGCACTTTGGAACCAGACGGGAATTTCTGCCCAGCTGGATGGGGGCCAGGTTGTGTTTTCAGGGACTGCTGTCAGCTTTGGAGGAGTTGCCCTGGGGCTAGGCCAGGCTTTGCCAGCAAAACTGGCAGGAGGACTTGAGCCCCTGCTAAATGCCCGAGAAGATGTCATCCCATCACTGCATTCCTTGTGTGGAGGGGCAGGGGAGGTGCCCAGACCCAGGCGTGTTCCTCGGCATGAGAAGGGGATAGCAAGTGTTGGAGGACACCGATCAAATGAACGTACCAGTAAGGAACATTCACTGTTGGTGCCAAGTGTGTTCATCTGGTGGCTCAAGCTGACAAAAATTGACAGCTGCTGAAGAGCAAAGAATCCTAAATAAACATACAGTGGTGGTTATTAAATAGGAAACATTTATCTTAATGGGGTATTGACTACAGCACAATAAACGATGACGATTTCCTTTTACTGAATGTGATATTTTTATGTTACTAGAGTACTGATGAAAGTGTAATTGGGTAAACTAAATGCTTTGGTTTTCGTAATGCCTACTGTACTTGGATTTAGCACTTGAAAACATTGACAAACATACAGCATGTAGGTATGCGCGTGTGAGAGTGGAGAATTCAGACATTTTCCAAGAAATGTTGGCTTTTTCTGAAATGTCCTTTCTTCTTCCTTCCTAGACTTCTGCAGAATCTGTTGTGTTTTGGTTTTTTTTCCTCTTGAAGTTGTTGAAGATGCCTTCCCTGAGAGGAAAAGCACAGACTGTCCTGGGCCTCGTGGAGCCGGAGCAGCTTGGCTACACGTTGACTCACGAGCACCTGTCAATGAACTACAGCAGCTGTTTTTGTCCACCTTCCCCAGGCCAAGAGCCTTTGTCTGATGGGCCCATTGAGATGAAGAACTTGTTTTGGATTAAGCAGAACCCCTACAGCCACAAAGAAAACCTTCTTTTGTGTCAGGAAAGGGATGCTGTGAAGGAGGAGCTGCTGAATTTTAAAGCAGCAGGCGGCGGGACTATCGTGGAGAACACGACCACGGGAATCGGTCGGGATATGAATACCTTGAAGCAACTCGCTGAAGAAACTGGTGTCCATGTTATTGCTGGGGCTGGGTTTTATGTGGGTTCCACTCACTCTTCTCAAACACAGGCTATGACAGTGGAGCAGGTAAGTCTTAACCATCTCCTAGGAGCCTCTCTCCTATGGATTATGCCTGGATGAGTCAAAACTGGAAAGAAGTTCAAGTAAGAAAGATGAAATCTAAAAGCTCCTAATTTGCAGAATTTAAGAGCAGTGTTACCGCTGGTGTCTTGTAGCTGGACCAGCCCTACTTGTGTGTACTGGGAGTATCTGTCAGCATTTCCAGTTCTTGAACTCCCTTTTCTCTCAGGGATTAGTTAGACTGCAACAGTAAAGGAAAATAAAATATTTCATATGTGGGATTTCGGTACAACACCATCTACCCTGTGCATTTTACAATTTTTTAAGGAAGAAACATTATTCCTTATTCCTCATTTGTGTATTTTCCTGGCTAATTACTTCCCAATTAGATCACCCAGCATTCTTGTAAGAAGCATAAATAACTGCAGTATTTATAGGACAGTTGTAAATCATCGCTCTGCTCAAGCTGCCTGTTACTTCTCTTTCCGCCATTTCCCTATTTTTTTCAGGGCATCCAGTTGTCTGTGCAGTGCCCACGACAATGTGTTAATAATGACAGAAGTCCCCAGATACTTCTGTAATAATAAATATTCATTCGTCTTTTATTAAGAAAATGTGATGATGGGGAGAAGAAGGAAGCGGAACCCTCCAAGGCAGGAGGCTGTGAATGTATGGAGCTGAATTATTATTTTTTTAATTCTATCACAGTTTACAAACGAGTCAAGTTCATTTTAATAATAAATGCTGAAAGCTTCAGCAGATGCAATGTGACATAGCTCTGTCAACTCCGAGGACCAAATTGGCTCAGGCTGCATGGTCCAACTTTTCCTAAATATTTTTGCATCACTTGGAATTTGATACAAAAGATTTAATTCGGCAAAAGTTTCCCTCCTGTATCTGATGGGCTGCTAAAGACCCACAGGTGTCCCGTAGTCAACAGTTAATCAATCCTTAATGCAGGCCAAACAACGATCAGTTGGCTTAACGAGGGTTGTGCAGGGACTGCACCATAACTGGTGGTTCTTCATTTGCCAGTGAATTTGTCATAATGATACTTCTCCTGATTAAGCAAAGATAATTTGAATATTTTGTTGCTCACTTCAACTGAACGAGAGAAGTATTTCGGCTTTAGTAATCTGTGTTTTTTAACACGAGTGAGGTTGCAGAGCAGTTCGGTGACACGAAGGTGTTGCTGCAGGAGCAATGTTCTTCAGGTTGCTCTCAGGAGAGAAGTGAACTCTGTGTCTGGTTGTCCCTAGAAGTGGGTGGTAGATTGGTTATACACGAGGCAGGAGGTGTGTGATCGTAGGATAAAGTGATGGGCAGAGACCTGCCGTAAAATGTCTTGTATTGACCTGTCGAGGAGACAAGATGTAGAGTAAAGGTAAGTTAGAAATGTATTTGGAAACTGGTGTGAGCTTTTTTGATTTCCTGTGTTTGCTTGAAAACCTTCCTTTGTTCACTTCATTCTTCCTTAAAATCATGATTTCTTTAACGTTCAGGGACAAATGGTTAGAATGTCATCATCAGTGCCATTTTGTGCTTTCATTTCTGAGTGTGTTCTTGAAGACACAAGCCTATTCTGGAAAAGCAAAGTGAAAGATTTTATAACAAGCTGATTTTATTTGGAGATTTTGATGTCTTTTTTGCCTATGAATGTTTTAAAAGCAAGCTAATTTTGACCCTGTAAGTTTGCAACTACAAGAACAAAGCTCAGCTGACAAAGTCAGCAGAGTTACAGTAGTTTTACATTGGCATTCCCAAGAGCAGGATTTGCCTTAAACTTGTCTTTGTCTAAACTAGTCCCAGAATCTTTGCAGGATTTGTACCTTCCCCATTTCAGTGACAAGGATTCCTTAATCGCTGAGCCCTTGTTTAGCAAGAAACTACCTGGAATTGTTTCTGGATCCAATATAGGATTGTGAAGCACAAGATTTTATCCTGGACTATTTTTTTTTTTTTGGAGAAAAATTAGTCTCAGCTTAAAGCGGTATTCAGATTATATGTAGACAATCTTTCCTTGCAAACCCAGGCAGCTGTGTGAGTGCATACTGTTAAATTGATTTGCCTCTGTGTTTATTTTGGTCTTAGTTAATGGCTAGGTTGACGTTAGTTGGCAGAAACCAGATTTTAACTGCAGTGTTTTCACACACCCAACTGTTAATTAAGTAGGTTCAAAAGGACCTCAGGACCAGCTCAGTGTCCATCAACCAAACGTGATGCTGTGTAACACAGACAATATTACTAACCAGATATCTCATTTTCCCGTTCTTTAGCTTACAGACATCATTGTTGGTGAGATCCTCGACGGAGCGGATGGGACTAACATCAAGTGTGGCGTGGTGGGGGAAATCGGCTGCTCCTGGCCCCTGACCCCGAGCGAACGCAGGGTGCTCCAGGCAACCGCGCGTGCCCAGGCGCAGCTGGGGTGCCCGGTGATCATCCACCCTGGCAGGAACAGCGATGCGCCCTTCCAGATCATCCGCATTCTGCAGGAAGCTGGGGCTGACGCTTCTAAAACCGTCATGTCTCACCTCGACAGGTAAGGAAACTGCTTGTTTGGAGCTTAATCAGCTTCCAGCACTTCAAACTGGATCGGCTCGTAGGTTCGCGCTGGTAAAATGATCCGGGGGCTTGAAACACTCCTTTTGAAGGTTTGGATGCAAGATTAGGAATAACTGTAACCATACTAGGAAAAAAAAAAAATAAAAAGAGGATTCCATTAATTGACATCCCTGTGTAAATCGCTGCATTTAACAAGCACTGGACTTTGAGAAGCTCCCGCCAGGCTGGATGGGAAGTTGTTGGGCTTCAGCGCTTTTGAAAACGGGGCTACTCTAAAGGACCTGACCAAAGTCTTGCAGATGCTAACATACTCAGTGATTTGGCTGAATTCTGGATCTTTTCAGTTCTGCTGCCAGACAGAAGAAATACTATGTAAAAAGAAAACAGTTGGATTTTGGATAATTCTCATCTTAGACCCCAGAGCTAACTTTCAGTTTCCTTGAGAGCAAACACCAGAAGCCCTACAGCAGGCATGTAAAGGAATTAGGGTGCTTTTCTCTCTTCTGACCTTGCGTGGCTCGTAATGACTTGGAAAATGTCCAAGCATTGATTGGTTTGGACAGTTGCTGAATAATGGAGACTGTTTGTGGTCATATGACTCCCAGCAATCGGATTGTTTGTCGTCGATGTGAGTGTAACACGGCCAAAAGCACTGTGCTCTAAATTTCTAATGATTATAGGCTCTTATAAATCAAGTGTCAGGTTGGTTTTTTTTTGGTATTCATACAGAGCTCAATGTTGCGTGGCGATTTTAGGAGCATAAAATTCAGTGCCATGAAATTTTATTTATATTTGATTGTATAGAAATGATATGGGCTTTCCTTATTTACCTGCATGCCATTGTATGTCTAGCTGTATTTTTTCTCAATTATTAAGACAAACGGATGGCTTAAATCTTTCTGTGAAAGACAACTGAGCAAACTGCAGTGTCAGTACTTATGTAGCCATTTTTGCTACAACATAAACATCAGTTCTGATTTTTTCTTGCTTTTATGCACTGTTGTAAATCACTGAATTCAGTGATTTATTGGTGGAAAAAATAAACAGCATAAGTAGGAAAACAGTCAAGGCAGAGGTGCAGTTTCACTAACAGCCGCTGGTACACATGGCTTTTCCTTATTCTGCTTCTATCATTATTTTCACACATTCAGGTTGGCACTTGCTGTAACATAGGCTCTGAACTGCTGTGAAGTTTGGCTTTGCAATGTGCGTTTAACATTTTAAGTCTCTTTCAGTGAGAAGAATCCACGTGGGAGCATCCCAGGCCCTTAAATGTGAGACCAATTTGTGCATAGCTCCATATTTCATGCCCGCTTTCGACACAGACAGAAGGGCAGTTTTCAGGTGGATTTACAGTCGAATGCAAAAGCTAAAATGCTGGCTGCCTCGTTTTGCAGTGTAACATCTCAAATCAAAAGGTTGCAAGTGTCCACCGTGAAAGCACAGTGCCCAGGCAGGCTAGGTAGGAACAGCTGCTAAACCTTGGCTACGAAATCTCATCATTTAATAGGGAAAAAGGTTACAGAGGCATCTTAGTAGAGATCAACATATGTTGAATTCAGCAGCTTTTGTTAGAAAAATCACTGCAACTGCTAGGAATGCTGGTCTGAAGAGGGCTTGGTGGCTGTCCCTGTTGGGACTTGCCCAAACACCTCATTCCAGCACCAAGCTGCCAGCTGGAGGAGCTGCCAGCCGCTGCTGTTGCTACATCAGCAGGGCTTACAAGGGGAACCCGTGGCTGATGGGATTAAGCTCTCCTGTCCCTTGTTGGGACAGAGCTTCCAAAAACCACCAAAAACAGTTCTCAAAAGAAATTTTTCTGGCTGTGGTTTTGATATACACTGTTCGTGGGGGTTTTGTTCTTTTGTTTTTAAAAACATATAGGATCACCTGCATAGGAATGAGTACTCCTGGCTACTTCTGGTTACCTGCGCTGCCTTGGTGGAAACCTGCTTTTTCCCTAGATGGAAAAAAAAATGTGTTGTGATAAATTTACCAGGTGTCATTTGAGGGTTCTGTGATTGGGCTTGTTGTTGTTTTTCATTTGGATCGTTTATGCTCTTGGTAAAAATGTGTCATAGAAAAAAATATTCCAGAGAGCTGTTATTTCCGTTGTCATTCTTTTCCAAGTGAGGGATGGGTTTTAGCAGCTTTGTTCCTTTGCTTTCCACATCTGATGCAGAGCCCATGCCTCGGGTTCTCACAGTCCCATTATATATTTTGGTAAGAGCATTTCCTTGAGGTGTTCCGGGCAGATCTGAGCACAGACTAAGATATATTGCAGTTCTGGTGACAATCTGGAAACATCACTGTACCTTATAGAAACTAAAGACAAAGTTGTGTATTAACGGTGTTTGATGGATGAAACAAGTCCTGGATGTAGCTGTTAAGAACATAAATCTGTCTTATGTCAGTAATCTATTGTCCTTTTTTTTTTTTTTAAATGTCACTCGGAATTAACCTCCTCCTTAAATGTCCTTCCTCGTTAGGTTGTCTGTTGAGAGGTTTAGTGATACCAAAAGTAAGTAACTTTTCTGTTTCCATTTAAAGATGATTGTAAATATTTTTGTTTTTGTGTTATTATTATTATTATATCATGGGGGAAGAGTTGCTTTTGCTTCATATTTGTTTAATGCATGAAGTCCCAGATGGATGTAAGAGGACAGTGTTGTCTACCAGGTTCGGCTGCATGTGCCAAATGGGAATTCTGTTTCTCAAAATCCTCACTAACTGGTTTTGTTCCCTGCAAACAGGAGCTCACAGAATATGTCACCTTCACACCGTGAGATTTTTTTTCTTCCCATTACAATGCTGACTTTGTGTTATATATGCTCTGCAGGACTATCTTTGATACAGAGAAACTTCTGGAATTTGCTAAACTTGGGTGCTATTTAGAGTATGACCTATTTGGTACGGAGTTTCTTCATTACCAGTTCCATCCAGACATCGACATGCCGAGTGACAACGAAAGAATTGCAAGGTATCTGCTTCAGTGGGGTTTGAGCAGTAGCATTGCCATTGACAAATGAATATTATTGGTACTTGTCTTAAAGGGCATCACGGAGTGATTCTGCTAGCAGTTCAAAAGTGTCTTTTTTCATACTAAAATAATGGCAATTTTTTTTCTGCTGCTGTCACTTCTTTAGGGCAGCATGTATAATTTCTTCTATCTGCAAAGGAAAATGTGGAATCAGAAAGTCATAGAGTGTGACTTGAGGGAAAGATCAAAAGCTACTCGAACTTCATTCTCTGTCCTAATTCCATGCTGATTTGGTTGAATTTTATCATTTACTGCGCTTATATATTAATGTATTATAAAAAATTAGTGTTATAAAAGGAAAGGCTGGAGATAGAGGATTTATGTTAGGATTTGGCTTTTGTTGGAAACCTAGTGTTGCTACTACATGTCTTCTGAGCCTATTACATCTTCTCACAAGTGTCTTATAGGAGCAAAAGTGATTAGTTTCATTGGGTGGATTTGGTCCTGTGCTTCCATCCTGAAAAACAGCCTTCCATACATTTCTTCCATACCTTTTAGCACTTCCATACAGCACTTCCATACAGCACTTCCATACAACTGCATATCCCGCCCCTCTCCTTTTGTCCTTTCCCACTTGTGGAGGCTCACAACTCCCGTGCTCTTCACAGCCACACTGTGACAGTATTGGCCGTGCTGGCCAGATCTCTCTTCCCTGTTTCTCTCTCAGCTCAGCTGCATGACAAATCTGTGTCTTGTGCTAACACAAAGTATTGCCAAGGAGATGCATTCCTTGCAGAAACTGCCTGAGACAGGTATGGTCAGCTGGGAGTGGGCTTCTCCCTCCTCCCAGTCTGTCCAGAGGAGTGAGGCTCCTTCACTGTTCGTCCTCAGCATTCAGGCGTAGTCAAGCAGCAGCTATCCGAGGGGTGGGATGCCATCCTGCCCTATGTCTCACTTCTCTTCCAGAGTCAGAAATAATTCTTTCCTTTTCTTTCAGGAGAAAGATTTTAAGGTCCCTGATCACTAATGAAGGAGCTTTCTAGCTTTCACTCACATTTCAGACACTGCTTTGCCCCTCACTGTCAAATTAGCTGCAAAACTTTTCTTCTCTGCTTTCAGGCTGCTCTCCTAAGAAGGTTTTGTGGCTACTGCTCTACTTACTGCCAGGCGTTTGCTGCTGCTTTTCACACTAGAAATAGTTTCTCTCTCTAACAGGTCTCTCGGTCTTGCACACGGTATTTTAAACTGCTGTGATGAATCTGCAGTTTTTACATTCAGTTGCTCCACTCTCCTGTGCCACAGCAGGTCAGCGTGTACAGAAGCACTGTGAGGAAAATGTGTAGAAGAATGGAGCATGCCCTGGTTAGCAAGTGTTTGTTCAGCCATGGCACAGCTTTTATTCTGTCTGTGGTACTTGCTTAGCCACCGAGATTTCTCCTTAAAATTCTCTGGCAGTTGAGCGTTTAGTGCAGCAGGCTGCTTATAGGAAGAAAATAGTAAGAGCTTGTCCCCTCTTTGTGTGGTGTGGCTCTCTGCCCTCCTGTTAGAAATGCCATTACATGGATTTTGTTGAGTTTTTGATGCATCCACACTGGGCATACGTAGACAGTGGTAGTCTCCTTGGATTGTTGTTTTTCTTTGTAGTTTTTTTTTTCTGGTTTAGCAGCGCCCCAGAGATGGAAATCAACCTGATTTTTAAATGTGTCACTGAAACACATTTTGACCAAACTAAATGGAGAACATTGCTCAGGTCTAGCCTGTCCAAAAGATAGGTAAACTTCTGTAGCCGTACCATACGTACTCAAACACAGCTTAACTGTGTGTGTGCTGAGGCATTTATACTGTAATCTACTGCCAGTGCAAGTAGAAAACTGAATTTTTTCAAGAAGAGTTTTCCTTTGAGTCAGCAGGAAGTGCAAACTAAACTTACAGGAACGAGCAAGAAGAAGCAATAAATAAGGAATCTAAAGGACCATATACCTCCCCACCCCACAAAATTGAGTCCAAATGTGGAAAGAGATCATTCTAAGATGATGTTTGATCAGCCAAGAACTTAGTCACTGCAGTGTCATTGCTTTTATTCTCAGGTTAGCTTGTGGCCTCTTCGTATTTCAAGCTGGAGAAGATAGTAGTGGTGTTATAACCCTACAGCATACATGGTGCTGTGTGCTATACAGCACTGTTTATATTGTTTTTATGAAAGACACTGATTTTTTTACTAAGTTCTATCTCACTCGCCTTCTTTCTACTCTCCATATTGATTTGATGTATCTCCTCGTAAGTAGTTGTAATAAAAACTGACAGTAAAGGCTTTCAGATGCAGTGTGGTTACTTATAAAACCAGTGTTTGCTTTCTTGCTGATCAAAGCACAGGCAAGAAGGTGAAAATTAGAATTTCACAGTGCTGGCGTCTGGTGGAATTGGGTGGCTTAGTGAGGAATGAGCACTTCCAGGCCTGCTCTGTCTGTCTGTGCCACCTCAGTGCCGCCAGTGCAAGTGGAAAACTGAAACTTAGCAGAGTCATGCAACAGAGAAGTTCAGCCACCTACCAAATAGATTCTAAAAACTGAGCTTAGCCAGGGATTAAGGTTACCTGAGTGCAATGTAGAACAGAAGGACGCCTTGTAGGAGGCTTGCTGCAAGGGAATGACCAGAAGGATGAGTTTTGTTTCGTTATTTTTTTCAAGCTGACTTGTCAATTTGCCAAGTCTGCTTAGTCGGACTGCTGAATTAACTCCTCTAATTTGCTGGCACATGCTAGCACCGTACAATGCCTGTCTTATTTATCTTCTCTAATGAACATCTTTGAAACATGTTTGGTTGATAATTGCCTGCATGGAATATGATGCTGACAACCTGGTTATTCTAATTGGGAATAAAGCACAGATGTGAAAGTATTTGCCTTGTTGAGCCAGGCTTCATAAAGGACCTGTCACAGGCAGAGTCTGGTCCTCCACAATTGTTATGGGGCCAGTGTTGTGACAGCAGCAAGAGCTAACCCCATGAGCAGATCATGCTGGCAAGGAGTTTTAGTAGGAAATGATTACTTACTCGTGTATATAAAAACTGTGTCCCATGCTTGGCAATAATGAAATCCTTGAATTCCTCCTCCATGGGCCCATGAGACTGGAAATTCAAAGTCATGCCAGCTGGAAACAATTTTTCTTGTCCATGTTGCAATATTTGCTGGTATGTTTTTATTAGTAGTATTATTATCATTCAATAAAGTAAGTGTTTTAGGTTTAATTAAATATCAGGAACATGTCTTCTGAGTACCTTAAAGTAGCTACTTTCAGTTATGATGCAGCGGAGGACTACAATAATGTAAAAAGTTTAACTACTGATCAGTTCTGCGTTGTTGCAGAGTGAGAGCTGCCAGTGACAGGTACACTTTTTACCTTTGCAGGGTTCGGATGCTGATCAATGAAGGCTACGAAGACAGAATTCTGATGGCTCATGATGTGCACACGAAGAATAGGTTGATGAAATACGGAGGTCATGGATATTCGCATATCCTTAAAAACATAGTTCCTAAAATGCTCATTAGAGGCATCTCCCAAGATAAAATTGATAAAATACTCCTAGAAAATCCAAAGCGGTGGTTGACTTTTAAGTAAGAATAGTGAATAAACTTATAAATTCCTATTTTATAGGGAGCTTGGCATAATTTGAATTTGTTTCAGAAGAGCAGTCATGCTTATTGTCAGAGAAACTGGAAGGTAATTCATGTTATGAACAACCCGATTAGGACTTCTCTTTTTAATTAGAATAACAGAACTATTTGTTTTCTCCCTTCTGAAAGCCTGTTCAGGAATGATTTACTAGATATGAGCCTACCTGCAAAATTTTCTCAATGTATTAAAATAGTTGTTTCCAGAGGGTAAGCTAATAATACTAGTACATTATCCAGGAATATTTTTATGCATCAGCAGAGCTTTGAAGAACATTACAGTCTTCAATTAAATCCCCCTTTTCCACAGGGTGATTTTAATAAACCAATTCTTGTAATATTGATAATCCGTTAATTATCCTTATATCATTTAAATAATGCTAGATAAAAGGTCTGGCACTTTGAAATACCTTCCAAGTAGAACAGAAGGCAAAACAAATTTCAAATATTTCTAAAAAGATACTATTTCTTTTTCATTTAATCATTTGCTTACTTTGAACTGAATGTGTAAAAAATACATGGAAAGAATTATTTTTGAATAAAACCATTTGTAGACCTCTTAAACTATGTGTAGTATTGTTACGGATGTCTATTTTTTAACCAGATTAGTTTTTCGTTGGGAATTGATGGAATCTCACAGCGATCATGTGAAACTGCAATACAGACCAGCTTCTTTTTGCAAGGATGCAACACCAAAAGGCAAAATATATTACATAATACGGTTTTAATGAGTTGCAATAGTTATAACAAAGGTTGTGATATAAGTCTTTACAAATCAGTATATCAAGATATGATGAAAAAGGAAGAAATGTTTGCCTTATATGTGTTTTTCACATAAAGTGTGTTATTTCCTCTTGTCTAACTTTAAACCAGGGCAAGTGATTTATCTAAAAGAAAAAAAATTTAAAAAAAGATCATACCCAGTAGCAATGGTAGCCTGATTTTGAAAGCTTCTTCAAATTTGACCTTATATGTCTTGTAGTATTGACCTTTTCCAATAAATACCTTAGTAAATATGCGTTGTTAGTTGTAAATGATCTCTAGCTTGGCACGTTGCTGTTTGCTGCTGCACAGACAAACTCCAGCTACACTGCTGCGAGTGGGCTAAGCATTGAAAGCAGTTGTGGCCTGAACAGACGTGAGGTCAGTTACACATCTGTTATTAAAGTAGTAGGAAAAAAAAAAAAACAAAAGCGATCACTACAATGTGATTGGCACTTTGTTATAGACTAGAAGCGTAGCCATTCTGATGAGATAATACACAAGCAGCTTGCAGCACGATGTCCCTTTATAAAACCTAAATGGGTTAGACTGGCGATCCTCTTAGTCTAGACTACCTCAGCATATCTTTCAAGCTGGGCAACTCAAAAACAGAAACAGAATGAGCAATATGTTCTGTTTAAGAAAAGCTTCACTCATTCAAACGAGATTTTGAGAGATTCTTAAAATCTCTGTCCGTCTTTTACTGAGCAATCAGCACCGAAGAGCTTTTTGTCTCAATGGCAGACACTTTTGGCGTTCTAGTGCAGATAAATCTGTTTGTACCCCTAGTAGATTAGACAAGGTTGCTTGTGGCAAATTGCATGAAATTGAAATGTTAGGGGTAGCCTCTATTACTCTGTAACACTTTATACAAACGTTACCTTCAATTTGCCAAAATGTTAAAAATAACCTAACCATCTCTGCTAAGGAGCTGGTTAATGACCTTGCTTAATTTTTAGATTGAAATCGGCAAGTTTGAACCTGAGAGAAATAGACAGCCTCCCCTCCCCAAACCAAAGCAAATAATAAATCTGATTTCTGATGACACGTATTTTGTGGCTATTAGTGGAATGACAGATTTTAAAGCATTTTTATAACTATGTAACTCATAGTACCTGTGTTTAGTTTAATTCTCCAAGCCATTAATCCTTTATACGTATTAAACTTCTTTCTTTGAGCCTTAATATATATATATCTATATATATGAATGAGAAAAATAGGTTTTAATACACGCTTCTTTTTGCAAGTAAATATCTGCTTCTTTCTTTGCATATGTGTTTTCATTTTTGGTAGTATGCTTATCTGTGTCCATTTCATAGGCACGCCTTACCACAAACCTCTGACTAGCTACCACGGAAAAGGTCCGTGTCCCACCGTTCTCCCTCAGGTCACATCTCCCACTCCTCCTTTGTGGGGGTAATCTCACCAACTCCAGTGAGACAAGACACCGAAGACAACCTAAGGTTTTGACCCATTCCTACAAAATTCTAGTTGAACATCTGCAGTATGCTGTCATTACTATTTTATTACAAATTGTACCCAAGTGCAGTCTAAGTGTTGAAGGACTAATGAAGACTAATTGCTGCAAAGAAAACATTTGACCTTGGTCTGAGGATGTGGATGCTAGGCTTGCTAAATATTTACACAACTAACCATCAAGAATGGGCCTGTAAAACTGGCTAACTATATATTTACACATGTTTACAAATGAAGAGCCAAATCCTCTTTCCACTAACATCAATGGGAGCTTTGCCATTGGCTTCAGTGTGATTGGGGATTTGGTCCAATAGAATAGTTTGTCAGCTGTTAAATATTTCAGGAAAAAAAAAAGAAAAAAAAAAAGTGTTTCTTCTATCCCTCTTTTTCTTTTAGAACATAGCTAAGGGGAAGACAAAATTTAAACAACTCCGGTGGTTTGACTTTATGTTAAAAGTCTAATGTAAACCTACAAAGCAGGAACATTGAGTTAAGGCTTGAAGCTGATTACTTTCTAGTTTTAAGTGGAAGAATAAGAAAAGTACAAGGCAAACAATTCCTTTGGAGAGAGAAAGTATATTTCGATTACCTCTTCCTTTTATTGTAAAATCATTCCTCACCACACTATGAGTGGACTCTAAGCATCATTGTTAGCGAGTAAGTCACAAGAACCAAAGCTGAAGTATGGATAAAGCAGCAAGATCATAACACATCCAAGTATCATATACACTGAAGAAGTAGCTCAGTGTCTTTAGTGGTTTGTTTTTATTTTTTTCTCCTATAAAAATTTGACCTGTGTAGGACTTCATTCACATGGACACTAACAATGAGGAAGTATTTGCTTTGGCGGTAGTGGATCACACATCTGTTTAACTCGCTTAGTGATTTTTTTTAACATAAGGTTTCTCTGTGTCGTACAGATGTGCATCAGGTAGCATTCGACTTTTTTCCCCACTAGTGAGGTGTTCGGTGGTCGATCTCTGCTGGGGTGCTTGTTTCATTGACTTTTGCCACGCAAATCCATTGCTTAGAAGAGCGAGCTTCGTTTTTGGACTGGTCTGGTGGGTCTTTTTACTGGTTATCAGTCGGCATAAATAATAAATCCAGAAAATGTGCTGTATTTGTTGTTGTTTCCTCCGTGTGCTTTTCCCCCGTCTAATTTAATGTAAACTTCATCTCCGGGCTCCAAGTGAAGAACCACGCTGTTACTGGCATAGTCGTAATTCTGATCAGCATCCTGAGCAATCGCACTAGCTCGAACCTACATAAAATACATAAGGAGTGGTTAAGAAAACTGATAATTTTCCTGCAAGGTGAAATTAAAGCATAGCCTCAGGATTTGATTCAGCATGCACACATTGACACTTTCAATGTCTAATAATGTTCATTGTAGTTTTTGTTTTTTCTTATGGGCACTGCTTATTTTCTCCTACAATACAGTATTTGAAACTACAGCAATAACCTGTTTATTTCTCAGTCCTCTGATCAATACAAAACTGCTTCATATTTTATATCCCGTAAATATTTTGTGCCTTTTTAAATACATGTGTAGTAAGAGCTAGAGTTGGGAGCACCAAATGTGGTCGCGTGCCCATTTTACACTGGTGTGACTTGTATTTCAGCAGAACAATTGATTGACATTGGTGAGGGTCCACAGTGAGGCCCTACTGGTACCAGGCTGGAGTGTTTCCAGAGGCGATTTATTGTCATGCTGCTAATAGTATCATGCTGTAAAGAGAAATAAATAAAAAAAAACACACACCCACATGCTCGCTCCAATGCACACAGGCAGGTAAGGTAATCTAGTCAGGGCTTGGAAAAGCTGTTAATGCCACATTTCATTAAACAAACATTTAATTTCTGTGTAGTGTAAAAGATGCATATTTGAAAAATCATGGGCGAATCGCTGTTTACTTTGAGAGCTCTTGGAATTTGCAAGCAATGGAGGGCTTCTAATTTCATTTGCAACTTTCACTTAAACATATGGGTTTTTTTGTTTTTTTTTTTTTTGTTTTGTTTTTTTTTCTCCTTTGCTATTCCACAGCTGATTAAATCTGACATTAGTAGCAAACTGGAAGTAGATGTATGTTGATTTCCAGCAAGGAATAGTCTGTGGCATTGTAAGTCTCCAAATCATTTATATATAATTTGACCCCTTTTGTTAAAATATTTAAACTTAGTTGTATGAGATTTATATCACATCATCTGCTTGTTGCTTGTCTTTGTTCTGGTGTAGTTACAGAGCAGTAAGTGATTTAGTGGCACTGCAAACCTGAACTAAGTAATAATGCATGACTTGGCGTACTATATGTGGGATTTTATCTGTTCTGAATTGAAAAAATAGGCTATAAGTCACAAATTTCTATGGATTCCTTTCAAAGTTTAAATGATAAATTTCCAAATTAAACTTTCATGTGATACGGACTCACATTAATATTGAAATGTTAAAAGGTGGCGGGGGGGGGATGTCTTTACCATGGAGGATCTTGTGGTATTATGCAGCTTAAACATCACTGTAGGTGGAAATTATTTATACATTTCTTTATACATCCTGTATGAGTGAGAAGGGCTTGAAAATCTTGCAGAGGTTTGACAGGCTGCAAATTTAAACTGATGCATCGCATGATAATAAACCACATCTATTTCAGGACTTCTTGATCCTATCGCCTGGTATTGTTTACAGAGGGCACCTATTTTGCTAGTGTTTTAGCAATAACAATTCTAAGCACAGGGTATTTCGTCTGGATTAATGACTAGCAGGGTGGAGTTGAAGGCTCTGGGCCATTAACCCTAGAAATGCCCTCCAAAGAAGATAAGGTGGGCTGAGGCTGTAGTGCTAATAGAAATGGAAAGGGCAAAATGGAAAGGAGTAAAAGGGCTACAGCTGAAGGAGACAAACTTTCACATAAAATGACATTATCTTGCGTGTTGGCAAAAATAAATGGTTTAAATTACTTTCCTAGTTTCCACGCAGACCATAATTAAATGCTGCTTAGTGGATTTCTCTAAAATTTTGTACTGCTGGGGATAGTAAAAGCGAATTCAAACCGTGTTTGTGACTGTCGTGAGGAGGTCAGCGTATGGACACTGCATATAATGGACATTTCATTGTAAGACCTGGGATAGTGGCTGAAGGGGGAGAAAAGGGACCTGGATTCAAAAGCCTGGAAAGTAAAGTGCAGGTATGGGAATGGGGACAAACGTCCTGCACACCCCAGCGTGCTGTTTTCCAGTATTTCACCTCGATGGGTGAGGCAGCCTAATTTTTTCCTCTTAAAGCCTGGCAGAAAGGTCTCAGGTGACTTCTCAGCGTGCCTCTGTGTCAGTGTATCTATCTGGAAATGAAAGCACTCGGGCAGCATATACGTGTATGTTGCTGCCTCCCAGCGCTGCGCTGGGACGCGCGGGGAGCCGGCAGGCAGCGGGCGAGGTGTTAGCGCCGGGCACCTCGGCATCCCTCGGAGGCACTGCGTGGGAAAGCTGTGTTCGCCTCCACGGCTCCCGCTTGCCGACGGCTTTTGCTTTGTTGGAAAACACCGACTTTACAGTGTCAGCCCCGTCAGGCGCCGTTTAAGCGATTTTTTTTGGCAAAACTTGCGAGCTTCCCCGCACACCACGCGGGGCTCGCGTCCCGGGCACGGACCGTAACCAAAAGGCAGCGCTGCCGCATCCCAGCTGTCGATTTCAGACAATTTTATTTACCTAGGTATTTATCCTAGCATAAAAATGCACACGTACATGCCTAGAAACCCTCCCCTTTTACATTTTTTCCCCTTGAATCGGTTTAATTTGTCTGATGTCTGGTACCGGGAGCGGTTATACTTGGGGGCGCTTAGACTCCAGGCTCCGTTTAATATTTTATTTTTTAAAAAAGTAGCAGGTCTGGGGAAAGCAAACACCTTAAAACGCGTTATAAACAGGGACAAAAAAAAATAAAATGAGTTAATGTCTTAATTGCCGGTAAAACGGTATCCCCGCGGTGGATGGGACTGCCTTCACCTGGGAGTGAATATACCACGGGGCACTTCGTTTCCCTGCTCCCGTAGTATTTACGGCAGACATTTCCTAATTGAATTAGCCTCTGCCCTCGTTAACTCCGTTCCCGGTTCCCTGCGAGGAGCCACCGCCCGCAGGAGCCGTCCCGGGGCCGGGGGCTGCTGGCAGCGGGGGGGCTGCGCTTGGTTCCCCCGGCCCTGCCCGGCCCTGCCCGGGTACCGCTCCCCGCCTGCTCCCCGGCCCCTCGGGGCTCCCCGAACCCCCCCCCGTCCCCTGCCGGCTCCCACCTGGTTGTTCTTGCAGAGATCTGCCCACATGCTGGTGCCGTCGCCTCCCCGCATGAGCACATGGTAGGTGAAGAAGTAGATGCCGGGGATGGAGCAGGTGAACTTGCCGGTGGTGGGGTCGTAGTGGTTGCCCAGGTTGGTGACCACGTCGTCGAACTTGAGCACCTCGTAGCCCTCGTGCTGCCGCTTCAGGCCGGCGTAGAAGGCGATTTTGGGCACGGTGCTGTAGGTGGCGGCGCTGATGGCCCCCGCCGCGTTCAGCCCCGGAGCCCCGGGGGGGCCGGGCAGCCCCTGCCGGCCCGGCTCGCCCTTCTCCCCCGGCGGCCCCACCGGCCCCGGCGGCCCCGGTTCCCCCGGGGGTCCTCGGGGCCCGGCTTTGCCCGGCCGGCCGGCCTCCCCCTTGGGGCCCTGGATGAAGGTGGGCAGGGACTGCATGAGGCCGCGGTCGGGCGTGGCCGCCGTGCTGGGCGCCTTGGTGCCGCCGTAGGGGTCGCAGACCATGCGGCAGGTGCCCAGCATCTCGTAGTGCGCCGAGGTGCCGGCCGAGCTGACCAGCACGGGGATGAGGACCACCAGCAGCAGCACCATCACCACCCCCAGCGCGCCCGCCGCGATCAGCCGCCGCCTGCTGCCCACCAGCCGGCTCAGCGCAGGGCGATCCTCTTGCCTGCTTTTGGACAAAATCTTGCTGGTTGAGCGGGGACCTCCTCAGAGCCGAAAAAAAGCCGAGCCCGAGCGAGCCCGGCTCCCCTGGGGGGGGGCTGCGCCGCGGAGGCGGCTGCGGGGCACCCGGAGGGCCCGGGGGGGGCAGGAGGAGGGATGGATGGAGGAGGGATGGACGGACGGACGGATGGACGGACAGAGGGAAGGAAGGAAGGAGAGCTGCCTGCTCGCCGGCCGCCCTCACTTTTATGCTCCCGCTGGCGATCGACTTTTTTTTTTTTTTTTTCCTCTCTTTTTTTTTTTTTCCTCCTCTCTCCGCACGCTGTGCCAGTCAGTCCGAGTCAACTTTCCCTGGGACTTGCCTGCCGCGGTCGCCCCGCTCTCTGCTCTCTCCCTCCTCTCTCCCCGCAGAGGTGATGGGGCTCAGCCCCGCTGCTGCTGCTGCTGCTGCCGAGAGCCCGCACCGCCGAGCGCTGCCGGAGCCGGAGCCGAGCGGGATCCTGCCCGGGTGCCACCTGCCAGGAGAGGAGGAGGCTGACGAGCGCGCTGGAGCAATTTATAGGCACCCAAAAGCGCAGGGGAAAGGGGAGCTGCTTTGGCATCTCATTCCAGCATCTGCTCTGCTCTTCCCACTCACAGAGAGTTTGGCATTACTCTGGCAGTGTGGGAAATATATATTTTTTTTCCTCCCCCCCTCCCTTTTCTCTCCCCTCCCCGGTCCCCCCCCCCCCTCCTCCCTCCGTGAACGGATGAGCAGTGAAATCGTGAGGCTCACTCGCTAGCTGCATCGCCTGATGACAGCTCTTTCTGGAGCTAGACCGAAAGGAAGAGATCTGCTTAGCAGCCTCTGGGCACCCTTCAGGTCACCGATCGAGAATTAAAAGGTCAATCCACCTCCTGCTTAACGCATCCCCGAGGCCACCCTGCCATGTTAGCACTTGCTGGGAAATATCACTGCAAACGCGGGGATGCTTTACAGTTACCGGGTGTCCAAGTGGAAGTTATTTGACAATATGCCTCCCAGCACGCGCGGTAGCAGACATCAGCATCTCTCACAGTGTCGGGTCTCCCTTGTCCCCCCTCCCCAATTGCAATTATCAATGCGGAGAAGTTTCTGTTCATAAAGTGAAGGTGACGTGCACATAACCGGCTGCAGTGTTTCCCGGTGTCACAGCCAGCCACTGCTTTGCTAACAAAGTGACACAAGGCAAAGAGTTCCCTTTCGTTCAGAAGCCGAAGGAAAGCGTGGGGCATCTGCAGATCAACAGATGCCTGGACCTGAGAGAAAGCATCTCTCCGGCTTAACTTCACGGCAGCAAAGTGTTTTGTTGAGTCTTTTTTTTTTTTTTTTTCTTCCTTTGGTGAAAGGTTTCTCCTCCCCCAAGAGCTGGTGGGCACCTCTGTGACAGGGTAGGAAGGTGAATGTGCAATATTAGTGGCATTTCTCCGGAGAAAATATTAAGCAACTTGTCCTGCTCACAAATACACAAGGTACACAAAGAGCTGTTTAAATAAACAAACAGAATTGATTCCTAAATCATACTTCTGTATTCAGGAGCAATGGACGTCAATCAAACGTGGGTGACATTTGCCTGTCAATACAGGGATGATGGCTGGAAAGAGTGTGACTTATTACAGCAAGGCAGGAATCCGAAATGAGCAATGGCAGCAAATAGGACAGCAACCAAATAATAGCATCTCCAGTGATGATCAGAGGGCTGTGATCTTGTCTTGGATTTTATTAGCACGAATCCCCTCTCCCCTTACCCGTTCTCTTTTCTTTCTTTTCTATTCCACAACACAATAAGGTCAAACAAGCAGGCAGTGGGAAACAAAGATTCATTGATTCTTCCTTTTAAGCAGAAATGTCAGCAGCTCCTTTTGCTCTTTCCTGAGAGACTCAAAGGCAGTGAGTGTGTCCGCACTGTGCAGAGATGGGCCAGCCCAGCTCCTTATCTCCCCACAAAACTCCTGATAAAGCTCCCATTTCACACATTCGTAAATATCTCCCCCCACCCACCCTTTTCCTTTCTTTATTATTTTTTTTTCTTTAATGTTCTGTCTTTAAAAAATTCTTTATCTGGTACTGACACAAGCTCGCCCGTTCCCTTAGCAAAGGGCTGCCGCTCAAGACCCAGGAAGGCAGCTGAGCACATTTGGAGGATTATATTTATATCTCATCGCTCTCTTCACCCCACAGGAGAGGGCTTTCAACACCGCTCTTCTGTCCTTGCAGGAAGAAAAAAAGCTGTGCCAGGAGAGACAGGTCAGTCTCAGGCTGGAGCTGGGCCCTTGGGGTGCTGTGTTTAGTCATCTCGAACCCGGGAGGTTTTCATGACATCAGGACGTGCGTAAACCTCCACTGCAACGGCTGTGTGACATGCTGGGGAGGCAGCAATTCTTCTCCTGTCCTCAAAGAGACACAAACCCATCGCGCTCTGTCAAGCCATGGTGACTCCGGGTGGCACCTGGGCACTGGCTTGCCGAGCATACCCTTACTCCAGCTAGGATAAGCCTGCTTCTTAAAGCAAGGTCCTGCTTACCTTCTTACTGCTTAGTTTTATCCTCTTGCAGATTGCCAGGAGTCTCTGTGCTCATTCACTCGAGACTTGCAGACTTTCTCTCAGAGAAGGCCCATGAGCCAGCCACAGAAATCACGGTGTAAGCAAGCAGAACAGAGAGCACAGGGTGAGCCCCTGTGCAGAGCTGTCCACGAACACCGTGTGTTAGCCAGGAACACAGCCTGGGATGGTGAGTGCTGGACCAGTGCTTTAGTTACCAGAGCATCCTTACATCTCAAGGAAAAATATTTTTTTCCAAGGAAACCAAGAACGGAAAACCAATGGGCTGAAAAGTTGCGCACTGGAGGTCTCAGTACTTTAGAACAAAGTTAAGGAAAATGTGGAAACGTCTTTTCACAATGGGACTTTGGTTTTCCTGAAGTGGCTTGCCATAGCATCAAGTCACTGTAATTAAGACCTGGGTACCATTTATGTTATAATGCAATCTCCTCTCCATGCTAAAAATCAAGACTGCCAGCCCATTCCCAACAAAGCCATTACACCCAGGCTGGCTGCTGCGGTGATCAGCGCTACATTTCCTTGCACCTTGCCCTAGCCCTTCCACCTGTTTGCTTACCTCCCCGCTCTCTTGGGGCCTTTACACATTCAGCCCCGCAGTCGGCATGTAAGCTGCATCCCCTGCAGCTTCTGCCATCTGAAACAGCCTGCCCACAGCTCTTTCCCCTACTGACTAATTAGTTGGTGTTCATACGGAGCCTCGGAGATGTGAGAGCGTAACATGCATGTTAATTCCACTTGCCTGTGCAAGAAAGCACGTGTTGTTGCCTCGGCACTAGGATAGGGAAAAGTCGGAGAAAACCGAACAAGAAGTTACGCAGTTGCCTGACACAAAATGACTCCTTCTGCTTGTGGTGCTAAATCCAAAGGGTTAGCCTGGAAAAAAAAAGTCTGTAAGAAAGGGCAGCCCTTCACCAGCTCCAGCGAGCAGGAGTGAGACAGAGCAAGACATGTGCCAAACAAAGGACTGCAAAAATGTCCTGCCAAGTTCCACCTGGTTTCTGCTCACTCCTAGCTACATCTGTTTGGCTTTTGTCTATATTTTAACTCTTTAAAAATTGTTTTAGACAAGCATTTTGAATTCCCATCAATGTGAAACCTCAGGCGTTGCTATGCTGTATCTTTAGAAATGCTGGTTGAACCATGTATGTGAAGGTCAGCATTTCAACCTGGGTAAATTCAGTGGTCAAATTCATCTGTGGTGTGGCCAAAGAACAACGTACACTCACTCCAACAGGCAGCTGGGTTCAATGCTACAAGATAAAGTCATGGTATAGATGGGGGAAATATTCATATCAGCATAGATGGCTCAAAGGTGCCATGACGAGCAGTCACAATGCCATTGCTGCTATCCTAAGCCATTCCTGTTCCTATTTCAGTTCTGTGCACCCATCTTGATAATATTTCAAGCCACAGGTCTTGGAGAGGCTCCTGTTCCCCTTTTTGGGTACAGGCAGCATGAACGGAGCTCTCCCAGAAATTTGTTTCCATCAGCACTGAAGAACGTCTGCATTTATAGTGATGGAAGTTGCCCACTGGCTTCCTTCACAAACTTAAGGATTTCATACTCCTTCAGGGAAACTCAGTTTCTATGTACAAAATTAAAAATGTTTTGCTAATTATTTTGATTATTTGGAAGCTTTTACCTGTCATTGGGAACGTATGGAGTCTTTCAACAAGATGTTCTCTGCTATTCAAGGATTTAAGCCTCTTGTGCGAGTGTATATGTGATTGAAAATAATGTAGATTAAGTTTTTTTTCACAATTAATAACGCCCTTTGATAGCACCAGGACGAGCAGTCTCTGACCCTGAAATCAAACAGGAGAATGACTCAAAGAAAATGTGTTTGGTCTCGAAAGGGTTACAAGCACTTTTCAAATCCAAATGAGGGGGGAATTCAGGGAGGGCTGTCACTAAAGTGACAGGGCTCAACAAGGAGAATTTGCAAATAAATTCCACATCTTTTCCTTTTTAGTTTTTAATCTGAAAAGATCAGTCAGACATGACTGGTTACTGGAGGGGAGGGTGGAGGAATTAAAATGGAAAGATCTGTACCCAACTCATGTTTTGACTGCTGAATTACTGCAGATATAAAAACCACCGTGGAAGTAAAAATAAGCCTTAAGCACACAGAGAGCTAAAGATTACCCATTTAACTGACCAATTTTAAGGATATAAAATAATCACATATGACACTTGGTAATTGCTAACATAAACAACAGCAATTAACCACGAAAGATCTTCATGACTGTGTGTGCCCTTGTTTATTCCAGAGACTAATCCACACGTTGCAGATGTAAAAGGTTGTTCTGGCAGGTTTCTCCTCTCCTCCTTGCACACGTGTGCCCACGAGCTTGCCTCTGTCTTTGTCTTTTGGCTCCCTTCTTCCCTCCCCATTCCCTAAGGGGGAGAATATGTGGTTGTAGTGATGCACACCAAGTGTAAGGTCAGTACCTTGTGGTAGTGATACTTGTACTCTTTCCCAGTGCCGCTGGCACCTGCTCAGTTAATGGCTCTTGCTCTGGTGACAGAACACAGCCACAAGAGCTGTGCTTGTTACCCGGGGTCAGCTCCATGGTCTCTAGGTAGAGCTGTACCTGCTGAGACCCTTCCTCTGATCTGTCACCCCGCCAAGCACCAAGCTGTGCTTTGCCGAGGATCTCTCCCTCAGCTTCTAAAGAGGTCGCCAAGAGCCACGGCACAATGGGACAGCCCCCGAGCAATGGCTTGCACCGAGTGGTAAATGCCTCCTCCACAAACAGCCTCAGTTTTTTAGATCCAGGAAATGGTTTGGAAGCAATGAGTTGTGCTACACAGCTCTTCCCAGCCTTCCTCACAAAAGCCTGGGCACCCAGTGCCCGCAGAGACCACGACAGGGCCTGCTTGTGGCAGGTTCCAGCCCTCCCTCGACCTGGGTCAGCTGCACTTGCATTAAACACCCTTTTCTTGTCCCCACACCCTGGTAGGACAGGCATTATAACTCACTGCTCTCTCGATGTAGAGGTCTTGGCTTCTGCAACCCCTTCTGTAAGCACGTCATCAGCTGAGAAGTTTTTCATGCAAGGTCCCTGGCTGACCTCCACCTTCAACTCCCTCTTGATCAAAATCCATCGCAGGTAACCTGTCATAAGCAGGCAGACAGAAGAACTCCCAACGTTCATTTATAAACCCCAGATATACAGATATTCATAAGTGCTATTAAATCAAGGAGTGCTAATAGTGAAGGATACGGTGTCAGCATTCTTATGAAGATGTAAATAAGAAACACAAAAGGATGGAAGATAAATGCCTCTAACATGGGAGTAAGATTAAACAACCACTTTGTCCCTGCTTAAAACTACACCAATAAGCAAAGGCATAAATCACATTGCACCTCTATTAAAAATTATGTCAGTTGTTAGAGTCAATCAGGAGGAGATTTCCAGGTGATTTGCCCATGAGTATGATTCCAGTTACCTCTGGAATGGTTATTAGACTGCCACTGCTATTAAAGAGAGATGTTGGGGGAAAAAAGCAAGAGCAGAGACAAGCTTTTCTGAACTGTCATCCGCGATTTGCCCTGCCTCCTCCAGACTCACCTTCTGTTGTTACACCAGCCCAGCAATCTTCTGGTGTTCCACGCCACAGTCCTTTATATTCATCAGGAGGTTGATGGATGGGCAATAAGAATGGATAGCTGGGAGTGGAGAACTCAAAATTAAACTCCCAAGAGTGGCAAGTTGCCCAAGAGATTTATTTTTTCCTCTGTCATCCTCTCGACTGATTTTCTTTTTGTGCCCAATTATTGATTTCTGGAGTAGTTAATGGCATAATTTACTTTGCAAATTGCAATTATTTCTGACCACTCATTTTTCTTCCCGTGTGTTTCATTTGTTAAAGCAGGAGGCTCTTTGATCCCAAACAGTCTTTACAACAACATGGCACGCAGCGGAATTTTTCAAGATCCCACTGGTTCCTTCACCCTCGATTATTACGGTAGGCAATTGCGCTCAGGACTTTGTGACATCTGCCCTTGTGTTGTTAACAAAATACAAGTTGCTGTATAGGTCTGTGGGCCTGAGCCTTCACAAATCAGGAGCAGCTTCACTGAAAAAGTCAGAGCTGAAAAGTTAACACATTCACCTGGCATCAGAGTTGGGTCCTCGGTTTTCACCACATTTAGAGAGTCACAAGGCCCAGTGAAATACCACGAATACTCTCTTCCTCCCAAAAGGGACTGATTTATCACTGCACACTGAGGAAGGGACCAGGGTGTTTCCTTGCAGTGTTGCAGAGATACGAGCCGTGCAGGGGAAGCACTGCGTCTGCTTCGCAGCTTGGTGTACGGCTGCTGTCATCATTAACAGGCTAACCCATGCTGCACGTAACTCTGGTTTTGGCACTTGTGAATTTAACTTACATTTATGCACTTTGCAATAATGACAAAAAAAAGAATGCAGACTGGAGAGAAAAATCAAAGCCTTTATCACTTTCTGAGATATGTACGTGTTCTTGTGCTGTGCACACATTTTTGGCTAGGCTCTTGGTACTCTTTCTGTGTAGCAATACAAGTCTAGTACGCACAACTACTGCACAAACCCAAAAAGCATCAGGTGAGACGAGGAATGTGACTGGCTAAAGAGCTTGTCTGCCATGTGGGGACCGAGATTTTCTACTCTCCAGAAGGACACAATCTCAGCCAGACTTTTCCTTTCATATAGTGAGAAATTATACGTTTATAATACACCTCCTTCACACATGTACATGCACACATATGTACATGCATAAAACTGCATGTTTTTGCTGGGACCAGAGCAGAACACTAAAACCCGTGGTTACTGCAATTCAGCCAGCATTTTGCTGTTGAAATACAACCAAAAAGGAGGACGACATACTCAATATTCTGTAAAAATATTCTCAATCACTAGTGTACACATGGAGTTACTCTACTGAGCTAATTGATGTGCCAAACTGCGTTTGCACTTAACACATGAGTGACTCCACTGGCCTAAAAGCAGTGCTCACTCCCGTATTACCATGCAGTGAAGCTCATTGAACTTGTATTAGAGTTTCCCTGATATTTGGAAGAGCAGAATTTAGCCTGGGCTCTTCTGTTTAATTAACTTCACATCACTAATGTCAGTCTTTAAATAAGTAAAAGAGAAAAGAATCTTTTATCAAACCTAATACCTGGGAGAAAGAATAAAATGGGACAAATTTGCATGGAGTGTCCTGACAAATGCCGCTTCTCTCTGAAACATTGGGAGGAATCAGAAAAAAAGATATGCAAAGGGAGGGCAGCACAAGCCAGGGAGACTGTTGTGGGTGAGGATTGCAAAGGGAAAGTCACTTCCAGAGAGGAGCTTTTTAACTACAGCATTGAGATTGCAATGCCTTGAACATATTTAGGCTTTTTTTTTTTTTTTTAATTAGATTTGCAGAAGGAAAGCACAACACAGAAGGGCTGTGTGCTGGAGGAATCCTTGCACTTCAGCACGTGGTGCAGTGCTGTGGTGCAGGTGAGCAGCAGGCAACCTCAGGACAGCTTCGACCAAATTCTCCCTCCAGACAACTCATCTGGGAACTGCTCCTCCAACATTTGTCTCCCACCAGGTAGGAATTCTGACTGCTTTAAGCACAAACCAATTTGCTGCCAGATTTGTCACTCAGATTCCTCTGTTCGGGAAGGATGGCAAGCGGAAAGCAACACGCTGTCACACTGCCAAGCGTGGACACCACGGGA